CAGTCATGTGCCCCAATGTTTTTTGGTGAACAATAACACGATTCGTAATCAGGCTGTTGTAGACCATCGTGTGGGTATGTCTTTTGTTAAGCGAGTGTCCCTCCACCGCCCGGAAGAGCCAATCAAAACAAGTTGTCACGTGGGGCAACAAAGCCCATTGATTCGGTCTTTCAGCACATTGGAGGAGTTTTTTGAAAGAGCAAGCAACATTTGCTGACACAGTCGGATGATGGAGGCTTCTAGTGTAACAATGGGCATGATTCCTACACAGGGACAAAAGCCAAATAAACTTATTATGAATCTAAATATCGGTCGTGAAAGACTACGTATGAAATCAAATAATACCACGTTTAAGATAACCTAAGAGGCACGTTATTTTATGCAATTTGTAAAATCAATTTCAATTAAACTACAGTACAATATAATTCACCGTGTAACAAAATAGATTTTTTTTTTATCCTGGGTAGTAAGTGTTATTTTCTAATTGCTTATGCCTCAAAAGTACAGAAAATGGCTATTATTCTCCATAAACTTTGCTTTTGTGATCAGGACAGTGATATTTTGAAATGTACCTATTTTCAATGAGAAAACTTTTGCTATTGTGTCATTCTTTCACGTAAAGTCCTGGTCACAAAAACAAAGTTTGTGGGGAATAATAGCCATTTTCTACTACTTTTGAGGCATAAGCACTTAGAAAATAACACTTACTACCCAGGAACAAAAATCGTGTTACAAAATTATCAAGCGGCGGAAATGTAAAAAAAACATCTGCAGTTATTATGGACCGCTAGATGCTTGTGATTACTGGTTGTTGATCAGAGCTGACGTAACCTTTCACCGAAAGATACTCACCAATTGATGCTGTAGAATTTCTGCAGAGAGAAATATCTTACGTATATATATATTTTTCAATAAGACAGTGGAGCAAATTTCCATACTAAATATGTACAAGCAAGAGAGAGCCATGCAATGTAAAGATACATTATTTTTGCGTGGAAATATGACAAGGCAGCCAAGAAGTACATCCTGGAAATATTTCTTCCAATCCTCTTAGGATATTTAACATTGCATAAATCAAACCAAACAAAACCATTTTTTTTATTTTACCAGGTACAGCCTACTGAGTGCTATTTTTCAAAAGGCATCTGGCTATCACAAATGATAGCCCAACGAAGTGGCTTAACACGTGGATATTTATAGCAGCCAAATACTCTAGACGAATGTTGATGCTAAACATGGAGAGGTAAACCGGAGGACCCAGAGAAAAATCCACGCGACTACAGGGAGAACACGCAAACTCCAAATATGCAGGCGTCGTGATCGAAACCACGGCCTCCTGCATGCCAAGCGAGGTGAGCTAACATCTTGCTCAATGAGTGCGAAGCTGCGGCAACAATAAAGGGAAAACTGGCGCAGCAGCAGCGACGGCGGAGTCTGGGTGGGCGCGGCACTACGACGTGATATGGTTGCAAGCAGCGTCTGGACCAACGTGCGCCTCGCACGGAGCAGGGCGACGTCAGCTAGAAAGTCGGCAGCCATGACAGCACCACCGTCAAGTAGGGGTGAGATAGTGGCAGCAGTGGCGGCAACAGCAGCAAGCTCCGTCGTGCCAGGATCGGCCTTTTCACCCGTTACAGGAAATGTTCAAATAATTGTAATCGTCTAAATTTGTTTTTAATGAAATCCGGAAACTCCATTATTTCCCTCTGATGAAAGGATGCCATATGGTAGTGGTGGTGTATATATCTACATATATATCTATCTCACTGGACCTAAAAATAAGTTTGCACAATTGGGGATAAACCAAAAAAAAAAGAATGTTTACTTCTTCAGCCTGCGTTTAGCTAGATTTTGTCTTTTCAAACTTACCAATTGAAGTTAAAGAATGCATACGTGTAAACTGTGTCTTGACTTCATTTGTATCATCATCAGCCATGGTAAATGCATTGCGGTGTAACAATCCACCGAGCGTCTACAATTGAAATTATTTCATCGCTCCATCTCCTCGGTGGGCATTCTCGTGGGTACCGTTATACTCCTTGGCTGGCACTCCATTAATAATCTTATTATTATTTTGGACCATCAACATAAATTACTTCCCGTGAGAATTACCGATGCGTACTCAAGAACCTATTGGATATTTCATAAAAGAGATATATCATTGTCGTTCACGAGTTACCATGAGAAATAGCAATCGACTCGAACGTAGAAAATACGTAATTAGCCTTCCCGTGAGAACGCTGATTACAGCGCAGATGTCAATTACGGAGAAACACCACACTTTCCCACGGGACCCTTTTGCGAACCTTTCCTGGCAAAATCGTACATTTAACACCGGCGGCAGACAGGACACAATGTTCTCGTGAAATAAAGATGCTCTCTTTGATTTAGAAAATTAAGAGTTGAGTCAAACAACGTAATCAAGAAAGAGAACAGTTTTTTTTTTGTTTCTTTTGACAACAGCAAAACAAAGACAAAGATCCCCCGTATAGCCTGTAACCGACTGTTGGGGCAAGAGCACCCATGAAGGCCGGCACGGCACACGAGGGGGTGGGATTGCCAACACCACGCCCGGCAGCCTTTGTCTCCCCAGTGGCGATGTTTACACACCACAAAAGGTACTCATTTGAGGCTGAGTCGACCTAGGAGAGGGCCCAGGACCGGTTCAGGCAATCGTGACTGGTGTTGGCCGTGAGCGGGAATCAAACTCGCGTCTCCGCGTTTGTAGCGCAGCGTAGCACTGACACACAACTCCGATTCACAGTAACATGGGGGGCAAAAAACACATGTTGTGGATAACTGCGGATTATAGGAACATATGGGGCCATGGACAATATGAGTTTGTTGTTGCGGACCCTACAGCTGCCGTGGGTAATAGGGTGGCGGATAAAGAGGAGTTCTCCTGGGACACGTTTCTCCAGACAGTTCCGCAGATGCTGCGCTTGACGAAACGCGCCTTGCAGATGCACCGTTGCGGTGAGACATTAAATAAATAGCGTGTCTTATTCATGACCCGCGGTGCCATTTTTACAGTACATCATTTACGTAACTTCACGTCAGCACACGCAATGTGATAAAATGAAACAAAAAAGAAGGCCCAGTAAGTTTTTTTTTTTAAATATAAGAATTGCGTTGCGTAAAACATCCAGTGCATTACCCTTTTGCAAATTCCCCCAGCTCATCATCGTCGGCAGGATACAATGACCAGCGCTTCAATCTTTCAGCGCTGCACGCGTAGAAAGGGGAGCCGCCGTTTCCCTCCTCATCAACAATGCCGGGCACAGAGGCGAAACGTTTCACGGCAAGCAACAAATGCTATGTCAATAATTCATGACAGCGCTTGCTAGCGAAGCGCCTATCTGGAACGTTGCCGACAAAAAGGCGAGAGACTGGCGAATCACTCGAGGGTTACGGAGGAGTGCATATACGCTGCCCTCCTTGGTGCGAAGATTTCCGCGCGGAAAACCGCGGTCGCCACGAATCCAATTTCATCACCAGTCGCATCCCGACTGCGTCACATGTTGTCCCCCTGACGATGAGAAGACACGTCCGCTTCGGAACTCTCCTAGCCATCAAGGGCCTCGAGGCATCGCCGTAGGTCACACCCCATCGATTACCGACATCTCTGTTTAATTGCGTTGGGCTTCATCGTCATTATCGGCAATGGTCAAGCGACAGGTAGGACAAGGCTGCCACCTCTCACGGTCCTGCGATGTAATAATCCGCCGAGCGCCCGCACGTGATCCGATTTAAGCGCTCCGTCTCTGCGGTGGTTCCCCAACTTTCGGACGCGTTCCATTCGTTGGCCGATGCTCAATCATTACTCCTGACCATCGGGCTTCATCGCTTCGGTGGCTACACATCGCATTTACATTACAGAGATGTAAACATTGAAACTGGAATGAATGCACAGATGGAGATTTCGCCCGCCCTTTGCTGTGCCGACTTGTCCTGGCGAGCCGGACTCAGGGCACCTCCTCGATTACCCGCTGGACCGAGACATCGCGAAGTTCACGCGGGCCCCCCCCCCACCAAACCCCCTCGCTCGCCTGACCACGGGCGTTTCCCACCGCCACCCCCCGCCGCTCTGCCTTCATCAGCCCTGTAAGGAGTCACTGTCTTGAAAAAAATGAGCGCATTAGTGAAAAGTGTCGTTAGCTCCATTTGTATGCGCAGAGCGTGTTCACGTTCACGCCGCACCAGGAATACCGTGCCACCCCCGCCCCCCACCCCCCGGTGGGCGATGCGGACGTTTAAAGAGCCCAAATTCAGATGTGCACAGCTCCCTTTCCCGTGGCACCGTTTTAGAATTTGACACTTACTCCTTGTTTTTAAAACTTCGATGAAAGTCAAATTTCGGCTGCTTTAATAAAAAATGCGACGGTGGTGCAGTGTCGAACGGACTGTGCAGGAAACGCCACGGGTAACATCAGTAGCGAGTGATATCTGTAACCCCCACCTCCACCCCTTCATCAACCCGCAGCGACCAGTGTGGTGCAGCATGGTCCAACAACTTGCAATGCCTGACCCAGCAGTCTGAATGTATCGCGAACCTCGACATCGGACGAACAACAGCGGCCTCGCCAGCCGTACGGAGAAGAACAATCAGGCAGTGGGTTACTTGAATGAAACTATTTTTATTTTACCAGGTAAGGCCCCACTGAGCTTCGTAGCACTTTTATCAGAAAAAAGACCTGGCCACAAATGATAGCTCAACGAAGTGGCTTAGCACGTGGAAATTTATAGAAGCCAAAATACTCTAAACGTATTTTTTCAAATTTGGAGGGAAAAAAAACCGGAAGACCCGCAGAAAAATCCACGCGACCACTGGGAAGAACATGCAAACTCCAAATACACAGCAGGCGTCAGGGTCGGATCGAACCCACGACCTCCTGTATACCAGGCGAGGTAGTTAACATCCCGCCACCGTGGCACCCAAAATGGGCCTGAAGAAAAACCGTACCCCACACTCCGCCGTGACAGCGCAAAGGGTTTCGTACCAGATACAGCTGCTTCCAGAGCACCCCCCATTCCTTGAGAGTCGAGGTCACTTCAAGGACAGTCGAGTCCTCCAATGGAGCAGCCACCTCTGACTTTCTGCACGCGGGGGGGGGGGGGGGGGGGTTGGGGGTGGACACGTACGGCGTGGCAATTAAACAACGGCGCTGCCTCATCCCTCACTCGCAGGGTTCATGCACCGAGCGACAGGGCATTTTCCGCGCCTTGCAGAGGTTCGGCGGTTCGGACCTAGCGGCCGTCCTGGTTAATACTGCTGGTGCATGGACCAATAAAGCTGCCCTCCCATCTGTCAAATCAGAGTCCGCGATGCAGGCCAAGCGGGCCAGCGTGTCACGGTACGCATTTTACAAATGTGAAAAGCATCGTTGTACTGCAAATCTATGCTCCCACTTCCAATGCTGCCCACTTTGACAAACCCGCACTGACCGGCATGCAGACGTGCGGTCAAATAACGCCTCAAGGCCCACGCGGCATGGGGAGGCCCTCATCCAGAAGCGGATTGCAGGAATGGCTGTGTGCGGATTTGCACACTTTGCATCGCGACGAAAAACAATCGATGTTGTTCATGGATGGATAGGTGCAGACCTACTGCCTACCCTCTGTTGTTGACGAACGCCTTCTTCAGGTAGACGTAGTTGGCAGGAAAGATGCCCTGTAGAAAAATGCAAGGTAGGAAAATGTTAATCTTTCGTAAAAAAAGAAAAAGTGAGATTATTTTTTTCAAGTCCTTTAACGTTTCGTCCCCACAACTGGCTTGGTAAACTGAAATATATGAAAGTGTCAAGGAGTTTAATCTATTTCGGTTTATTTTTTGCCTCAAATGATGCGGTAGTCTCAGAAACAAAAACACGGCGCGTTCGTCAATAACACCATCGTCGAAAGGGTACAACAAATACGTAAAGGGTAAACTTGCAGGCAATGGGTTCCTCTTTGTATCAGAAGATGCCCGTTGCCTGAAATGTCTCCTCTTATACAGGTGTACTTTGTTTCCTTCAGCGCAGTGTTATTAAGGAGTGTGTCGGGTTTTTGTTATTTGTGCACCGCTGGCAATGCACCATGGCAAAAAGACGACAAAGCACAGTTTGCGATGATAACCGACGAGCGTCTTGTTTGTGATCGCATCAACAAAAAACACTCGTCGCAATTCTAGATTTAAAGCTTTCGTGACTGCTAGGATCCATACTCTTTGGTTCTACCGTTGCAAGTCCGGCGCTCGTAAACGCTCGCGTTGAAGACAGGTCAGACGGAGAGAGCGTCGACCGCCTTCCCTTTCGTTCCAACTCGCGCGCACCAAGGGCAAGCGTTGAGAAGAGCGGGCGATGGAGAAGCGCAGCAAAGCACACCTGTGGTGTTGCTTTGGGTCAGATCGCTTAACTATATAAATGTTGTGTCGTTAAAACCCGCCACCACCCGACACAGCCAATTGGTAAGGTTTTGTCGCGTAAACAGAACGTGGCCAATCCGTGACCAGTACAGCAACACCGGTTGTGTGTTGGAGAGAAAATCCACAACATTAACAATCCGAGTACGACGTTTCGCCAGTAATTACAACTAGCATCATTGGGCAGACAGTCCGATTTACGCGATCCAACCCCACACAAAAAGCTATATTATTGATGATATTGGTCGCGAAAGCCTACATGTTAAAGTACATCTGAGCGTTTTGCCAAAGCGCCCGCGAAAAAAACCCTTCGCACCGACGACTCCACTCGCGGTAGACAGCAAAACAACATGCATGCCCTGCGTTACTAGATACAACAATAAAAACTAAACATTTTCACTTTCAGAAAAATATTGCCTGTTTTGTACGAGAAGCATGAGCGCTTGCACATCAGCTCATCTTGACAACCAACGGCATGATCATATTTTATTTAGGCCCTCTGGATCGCCGATAGAGAGAAGAAGCACGTCCAGTGTTATTGTGTTAAAAAAACCTAAAGGCTTAGATCCAGCAGAACAGAAGCCTCACCACGTACATACGACTTATCGAGGGCACACAAATAGTTAGGAGCTTATTTAACCTTGCGTTTGAAGGGGAGCGGTAGTGCTGTCCGATCGCTCATCTCAGCCGAGTTTAGAGATTCAATTGGTGGTCAAACCATCAGGACGTGCTCACGGCAGTTCAGCTGGATGGCACGATGGAGCTTGATTATCCCCGTCGGGACATGGTTTTTGGCGTGAGAAACGTGCTATGGCAGCTGCCATCGTCATTGACGTGCCCATTATATCAAATAATAATTATAATAATAAGTCCTTTGGTGACTCTCAGGCTGCAGGGAAAAAAAATCATATTGTTTCATGGCTGCCATTTGATATGAATGGAAATAACTTAACATCATATGCATTATATTCTTGGTCCTTTCGGTAATGAAATAATTATTGCTTCCCTTCTACGTGACTTTACCGAAAGAACCAAGAATATGAATCCCTGCAGTCACGAAAGCTTTAAATCAAAAATCAAATGCAATTTTAAGTTATTTGAATCGGCACTAGAGATTTTCATATTTTCTGGTATAAAATGTGTTTATGTAATAATAGATTAAAAATATCACGAAAATTACGACAATGTTATTTCACCGGAGCTCCATGATGTGTTTTGGGGTTATAGTGCATGGTTCTACTCGGCATGACGTGACCCAATTTTTCACTCCACGTGCTGGGAGCTACTTCAGAAACTGAGTAATTCAGTTCTGGAAGAAGCATCCCGGCACGTGCACCGAAACATTGTGCATCGAACGGTAACAATCCCGACAGGCATCGGAGAGCTCTACGGCACAACCGCAAAGTAGGAGTGTACAGTGAGGGAAAATAGTATTTGATCCCCTGCTGATTTTGTGCGTTTGCCCACTGACGAAGAAATGATCAGTCTATAATTTTAATGGTAGGTTTATTTGAGAGACAGAATAACAACAAGAAAATCCAGAAAAACGCATGTCAAAATTTTTATAAATTGATTTGCATTTTAATGAGGGAAATAAGTATTTAATCCCTCTGCAAAACATGACATAGTACTTGGTGGCAAAACCCTTGTTGGATATCACAGATATCAGATGTTTCTTGTAGTTGGCCACCAGGTTTGCACACATCTCAGGAGGGATTTTGTCCCACTCATCTTTGCAGATCTTCTCCAAAGCATTAAGGTTTCGAGGCTGACGTTTGGCAACTCGAACCTTCAGCTCCCTCCACAGATTTTCTATGGGATTAAGGTCTGTCTGGAGACTGGCTAGCCAGGACCTTAACGTGCTTCTTCTTGAGCCACTCCCTTGTTGCCTTGGCCGTGTGTTTTGGGTCATTGTCATGCTGGAATACCCATCCACGATCCATTTTCAATGCCCTGCTGAGGGAAGGAGGTTCTCACCCAAGATTTGATGGTACATGGCCCCGTCCATCGTCTCTTTGATGCGGTGAAGTTGTCCTGTCCCCTTAGCAGAAAAACACCCCCAAAGCATAATGTTTCCACCTCCATGTTTGACGGTGGGGATGGTGTTCTTGGGGTCATAGGCAGCATTCCTCCTCCTTCAAACACGGCGAGTTGAGTTGATGCCAAAGAGCTCCATTTTGGTCTCATCTGACCACAACACTTTCACCCAGTTGTCCCCTGAATCATTCAGATGTTCATTGGCAAACTTCAGACGGGCATGTATATGTGCTTTCTTGAGCAGGGGGACCTTGCGGGCGCTGCAGGATTTCAGTCCTTCACGGCGTAGTGTGTTACCAATTGTTTTCTTGGTGACTATGCTCCCAGCTGCCTTGAGATCCTTGACAAGATCCTCCCGTGTAGTTCTGGGCTGATTCCTCACCGTTCTCATGATCATTGCAACTCCACGAGGTGAGATCTTGCATGGAGCCCCACGCCGAGGGAGATTGACAGTTCTTTTGTGTTTCTTCTATTTGCGAATAATCACACCAACTGTTGTTACCTTCTCACCAAGCTGCTTGGCAATGGTCTTGTAGCCCATTCCAGCCTTGTGTAGGTCTACAATCTTGTCCCTGACATCCTTGGAGAGCTCTTTGGTCTTGGCCATGGTGGAGAGTTTGGAATCTGATGTATTGCTTCTGTGGACAGGTGTCTATTATACAGGTAACAAGCTGAGATTAGGAGCACTCCCTTTAAGAGTGTGCTCCTAATCTCAGCTCGTTACCTGTATAAAATACACCTGGGAGCCAGAAATCTTTCTGATTGAGAGGGGGTCAAATGCTTATTTCCCTCATTAAAATGCAAATCAATTTATAACATTTTTGACATGCGTTTTTCTGGATTTTTGTTGTTATTCTGTCTCTCACTCTTCAAATAAACCTACCATTAAAATTATAGACTGATCATATCTTTGTCAGTGGGCAAACGTACAAAATCAGCAGGGGATCAAATACTTTTTTTCCCTCACTGTAAATGATCAGTATTATCCCATCGCAGTGAGCATATAACCCATGGGAAGAGTAACCTATCCTGATAGAAATTGTTGTAATTTTGCATAAGCTTACCTTGACTTCTGAATTTCTGACTGAAAATCCTCTGTACCAGCCTGGAAATGCAAAAGAAAAACCAAAGGTGTCATCAATAAAATAACAGTAAAAAATAATCTAAACATCAACATTCACCATTACAATGAGCGATTATAATTTCGTAAATATGCAACGAAACATTCCAATCGCAAGCGCAATTTACATGAGAAAACCAAAAAATCATTTGACAGTGGTTTGAGCTAGGTCTATAAAACTACACACTCACACTTCATCGTACGTAGACTCTATCCCACGAGTCTCATCCCTGTAACTCTCCACATGTCCGCCAGGGTGTTTTCGACACACACCGAAGTTAAGTGAGAGTCTCCCAAATGTTCGCCGTCATCTCGGCTGCGATTCTTTAAAATGCTTCTGTTTGGCGCTGTCGAAGATCAACCGAGCCAATGTTCCGACACCCACGTTCACTATTATTCTTTATTCGTGGAAAATCGGGGAGTGGCAGCGCACAGCAGGCGATGCACTGTGCTGTTGAGCCCGCGCTGTTGAATCCGGTGAGCAGAGTTGCATTCCGAGCCATGGCTAACATCGCTGGACCAGTCCCGTGTGCCCCTTCTCCTCGATCCACCTCATCCGTTCAAAAGAGCGCGGAAAGAAGAGCGTGCTTTGCTCCGTGCCACTGCCAGAAGAAGGGCCTCCATGAACGGAAGCTCTGAAGAGCTCCTGTAAAGGGGCACTTTTTGTTGCCCTGCTCTTTCACGCTGTTGCCAGACGTCTTGGAAGAGCCGGGAGTATCCACACTTCACCCCGCCGCACGCGCGCGTGGTGGGGTTAAAATTCCCAACAACAACAACAACCACACAATATGGACGGCGCCGGCTTTGGGAAGACCTTCATTCAGAAGTTGAATCGATCGTGGCAATGGCTTGATGATGACGACGATAATGCGAGGCAGCAGGCCGGAAGGCGCGCTCAGTTGCGGGCAGGCAAAGGAAGAGGCGAGCCCGACAGACTCAGCCGCGTGCGTGCGTGCGCTCAGGAATTAGGGCTCCGCGCGTGCCATGACGCGTTCGCTCTCGCCGCTCGTTTATCATTCGTTTATCAGTCTTTCGGTCCACTTGTATTTTGGACGACGAATACAGGAAAAGGGACAGCAGCGGGGTAGGCGGTGCCCAGACGCCCGGCATCAGCACGCGTAACAATTGGAGCCCGCCCGCCCGCCCCGAAAGTTACAATCTGGGACAACAATAGAAGAGCAAGAGAAAGGATCGTCGCTCATGTCAGTCAGTGCCAGTGCCATTCGCCCCCGCAGACAGAGAGAGAGAGGGAGAAAGGGAGACTGGCGGCTTGGCTGCGGTTATACCGACGCCACCGGGGGCGTGGAAGCGCCGAAGAGGACGAACACGAGGAGGGCAGGCGACGTTCCACCTCATTCATCTCTCGCGGGCGCCCCGCTCGGCACGTCGAGACAATTTCCTCCGCGGGGGGGGCGGGATTCGGGTGACACCGCGGATGATGGGGGCATGGCACGGACATCGATATATGTACGCTCCCTAAATTTTTGTTGCTATTGAAGCGGAAGGATTCAATGTTTGAACATCGAACTGAATTGAACCGAAACATGAAAACAACACATATCTGGGCCCTGCGATGTTTATGCGCGGTGCATTCGTTTCTGCCGTATCACCACTGGCGATGATTTATTTAATCCGGGCGAGTGAGCCGAGAGCGAATATCGAGAGCGGGTGTTTCTTGATGTGCCGCGCGGTTTAGACCCGTATCTCTCAAACCGGAGCACTATCGGCGCGGCTGCAGACACCGCAACGGTAAACTAAATGTTGAACGTGCACACGCGCAGGCACGGAGCAGGGTCTTCGACTCCGGAAAACAGAAATTTCTTGAAGAAATGCAAGAGGGGCTTTGCCCTTCGTTCGTCAGGTGGGAAAAACTCCAGGGTTAAAACACGTAGCGGGCACACGACCTTGATTCTACTTATACTTTTAAGCGATTGTGCGAAAGGTATCACTGGTAAAGCAATGATCTCCTGCTCAAACGAGCGTGCCCGCTGTGCTCACCTCCCCGTTTGCAGCCCCAAGTTAGTGGTGGGAAATTCCACATTGTTATGGCGGGAGCGAATCTCATCGCGGGAGAACCGCTGTTCACTTCCGCACAACATTGGTACTCGCATTATCATTTCCGGAAGCATGACGGGGCAGAATCAGGTACAACTTTCGAACTCCGAAAAGCTCACTATACCGCTGATCTACCTGGCTGGTATAATCATCATGCCATGGCACCAGTAACGTGAGACGTGAGACAAAGTGTCCGTTAGGAACTCTCGCAGAGCAGTGAATAAAGTTTCATTTAAACTATTTATGAGATCCCTTCAAGTGATCCTCTTCTTATCCGTATCTCCAACAAACCAAAAAAACCATGTATATTTTGGATGGGTTGTCTAAAACAAAAAACATCATTTTTTTGTTTTGTTTCAGACAACCCATCGGGCCCCACGGCCTTCTGGGAGTGCATCATTTCAGCAGCGTTGATTCAGGCCAAGTAAACTCTGAACTGGTTTCAACATAGAGTGTCTCAACAGCCGTCAAAACTTGATGAAATATACTTTACATTTTTTTTTACGTGGAGAGAGACATATCGAGGACATCTGGTGCCCAGTTACCTGGTTTGTTACTTATACTGCATTCTACACAATGACGCTAATCATCTTGTGTTATATTTTTATTATCTACACACAAGGGGTGGGCACACTTTTCCTCCATACTTTGCCCTGGCTACAATGAAATGTTCACAGTTTTTCAGTGAAAAGACAATGTTCACGTGATTGTTTTTGTAATTGCAGGTGTTGAGAGCTTGGAACCATCGATTCTAACTAATCTGTTTTTTTTTACCAGGCAAGGCCCACTGAGCTATATAGCTCTTTTTCAGAAGCGACCTGGCCACAACTGATAGCTCAACGAAGTGGCTTATCACCATTTGGAAATGTATAGTAGCCAAATACTCTAACCCTTATGTTTCTTAATGTGAAGGGAAAAAACCAGAGGACCCGGCGAAAAAATCCAAGCCACCACGGGGAGAGAGACACGCAAACTCCAAATACACAGGCGTCAGGGTTGTAATCGAACCCACGGACCGCTTGCATACCAGGCGATGGAGTTAACACCTCGCCACCGCGGCACTACGCTTGATAGCTCACTTCAGTAATGGGTGGCTTAAAGTGGGATTTGTATCCAGTCAGTATCTCGGCAATGCCGGCTCGGCGCTCTGACACCTGACCCAACCTGGCCACCTCTTCAATTACCTCGAGGGGTCCGCACCGGCAGCGGTGTCGAGGCACGAGCGCTGAAAATACCCGTCCGCTAATGCCCAGCGTAAACACAACGACGGTGTTTGTGGACGCATCAATCCGCTCGCTCCCGTTGCCAGCGCCATACATAAGGCCGAGCCCCTTCCAGGAAAAGAACGCCGAGAGGTCGCCGGAGCAACTCTCGAGCGTCCGCGCGGCCGATTCTGTGCGGGGTTATTTAAGGGAACGTGCGAAGGGGGGGGGGGGGGGGGGGGAGGGGGGGGGGGGGGGGCGGCTTGGAGAGGGCGCATCGCGAGAAAGGAACGACGGCCGATGGCCACCGGCGACGTAACGGCGGCCACGGGCGAGGGGACGCGGCCGCCGTCGAGGTGCAGCGGCGACATCGGCTCGTGTGTGCAGGGGCGAGACGGGTGGAGGCTTTGCGAGAGCTTACGGACGGCCATCGTATGTGGGGGAGGAGGCTGGGGGGTGCAATGTATGAACGTATGCACGTATGTTTAACTTATTTCGCACCGTTACGTAGCTGACCGTCCTAATCGGAGGTGTGACTGTGGGAGGATTCATTCAGCAGTGGATGGACAATGGTAATTCATGGTAATGGTGATTAACTATTGAATTCTGTTTGTTAAAGTCAATGTATACAAGTGTGATGGTGGTCTTTGAGATTGAGTCACTTTAACTATATCAACTCACACGGAGACCCTCAGTGTCACATAAATCCCCACAGACTGATGCGTAGACCCATCGACTCACACAGAGCACCACTCACACCGATCCCCACAGACTTACGTGTAGATCCGTGGACTCACACACAGAACCATAGACTTGCACACAGACTCATAGATCCCGCAGACACACAGAGACCTATACTCACACAGAGACCCACAAACTCATACATAGACCCATAGACGTCTCAAAGAGACCCATGCACTCACAGAGATCTCCATAGACTCACATGGAGACCCATACGTAGGAACGTGACCACGTATGCCTGTTTTTGTATTTTTTTGTTCATGTTTTTTCTGCTTTGACCAGATTTCTGTAACCAGTCCCCCATCGAAAATGAGCATTTATTGCCCAATGGGTTTTACGGGTGCCAAAATAAAATCTGGAATAAGGTGATGATTTGGGATTCCATGTTAGCTGCAGTGCCGTAGCATGAAGTAAGATCGTACGCTTTAATCTCACGCATTGTTCATGGTCTGACAATGAATCCCCAATCATTGTCTGATGTCAATCACTACGGCACGCGCAGTCAACATTCTACATTGCAATGGAAAAAAAAAACTCCCACGTGCTTACAACCACTCTAAACACACCTATGTTCTGTGCCTCTACATACAAATAAAATATATTTTTAGTCATCAGAGCGGTAAATTTGCAGACAAATATTTTCCAGCAGCATTTTGCTCAAGAAAACAAAACTCCCGGACGGTTGCGACCTTCAGGGACTCATCAGCAGTCAGGCTTCCTAAACAAATGCTCTTGGGTTGCCTCGATGTTATAGTTAAGAGCATTTCACACCTCCAATTAGCACGGTGGGCTACGTACGGCGCGAAAGAACTTCAACGCACATACGCTCCATCCCGACTGTGGCAATCCGAGAAATGTTCGTTTTAGGGGCCTGACTCTTGTGTTGAGGCCCGAAAGGTCCAAAAAAAACCAGCGCAGATTTTTGCTCGTTCAAACAAACACGCTGCCGCACGATCTCCCTCTGGAAAGCCACGCATGAGGGAGACT